CAAGCCAAAAACACATAAAATTCCGAGAAAAAGGCAAACGCGAAGTTTCAAAGAAGTGTTTCGATTTAATTTGAATTTGAAGGTCACAACTATTTCAAAAAATTCAATACGTTGTCGGATAAATTTGTTGTAAGCTATGTTTGGAGAGTTGCAAAAAGTTCGGACCAAAAAAAATAATTAAAAAGAGAAATCGCTAATTCCTAACAATTTTTGCATGCAAAATTGAATTTTTAGGTGACATTGAGACATCCTTTTCTGTCCGAAAAATTAGCGTTTGCATGCAAAAATTGGCTGAAAAAGGTCATTTGCTCTTTTTAATTATTTTTGTCTGTTCAAACTGTTTGCTATAATTAATAGCAAAAAGTTCGGACAGACAAAATTAAATAAAAAGAGCAATTGACCTATTTTGGAACAATTTTGTACGCAAAATGTAATTTTTCAGTCCAATTTTGTGTCCCCAAGGTTGTTTGAAAGAAAAAAAATTGCATGGAAAAATCTGTCAAAATGGTACGATGCTCTTTTTAATTAATTCTGTCTGTCCGAAATTTTTGAAACTCTCTATACCAATTATAAATAATAAGAACGATAATGTTTTAGCGATCAACCGACAGTGTCAGATACTCCGAAGGCCAGTATCTCTCAACGATTGCAAGCACTGAAGGAGAACAGAAATTATTGACAGAATGAAAACTAGTCATGAGCTGATTTGAACTTAAATGACCGGGACCGTTTTTTTAGCAGACCGGTTATTCTAGGATAAAAAATAAAAATAAGGTGTTTTAGCAGACTTTGAGTGCAGCACAAATTTACGCATAATTGATTGAGGGATGTGAAGTGGCGCTAGTTTAACGGCAAACACTGTTTCACGCGCAGTATTCCTCTCGTGCCGGATGTAAGCGCAGCAGAGCAAAGCGGAGCAAGCGTATTAAACTTGTGAATGTCGCGTTTGAAGTTAGCATTACATTCTGACCATTTAATTGTTTTGAGTCCGCTAAAAAACCGTCTGCTAGAAAACCGGTCTGGTATAAACATAGTCCTTTAAATGTGACTAATTTAACTAATGTTTCTTAAGTGACTTCCTATCATGGTCAAGGTCAACTTGCGTTGTTTCGATTAATTTAGTCATCGTTTTGAGTATCATGTTTTGAATAAAATAATTATTCGATTTGGAAAACTTGATTGCGTTAGGCTGAAAGATTGATAAAATTTTCAACTTACTTTTTAATTTCAAACTAGCGTGTAACGCACCTCAGGTGCTTAGAATTTTTCACAACTCATGAAAAACCGCATATAATGGAAACCAGATCTGCAGACTTTTAGTGTACTCTGACAGCACCCAATTACATGGTTGGTAATTTCATATTTGATAATTTTTTTAAATTCCTATTTACCATCAAATCTCGAAAACATCATATCTAGAAAACTGCAAGTATTTGAACAGTCATATCTAGAGGCAACACTTGCAACCCCTATGAATACCCAGGACCTAACTACAGGATTAGGAATTCAAATTGAAAAAAAAAATTCAAAAGTTGAGTTTTCTGACAAACTTTTGAAAAAATCTCAAAAAAAAACGTCATATCTCGAAATTACAAGGCTTTGACCAGTCATACTTGGAAGCAAGATTCGCAATCCCTGAGAGTACCCTGAAAGCACCCATCTACAGGGCAAAGAATTTCAAATTTTGAAAACAAAAGTTTATTCGAAATTTAATTTTTTTTTCGAAAAAATCACAAAAAAACGCTACATGCCGAAAACTACAAGAATTTGTGCAGTCTTAACTGGAGGCAAGGTTCACAATACCCTGAGAGCATTCTGATAGCTTCCAACTACAGGGCTGAGAATTTCAAATTTTGAAGAAAAAAAATTGGTTAAATTTTCTGAAAAATTTTTGAAAATCATAAAAAACATCATATCTCGAAAAGTACAACTGTTTTAGCATTCATATTTAGAATCAAAATTCGCAACCCCAGAGAGTACCTTGACCTTATCCAACTACAGGGTAGGGAATTTCAATATTTGAAAACAAAATTTTATTCAATTTTTTTTGAAAACTTTTTGAAAAAGTCACAAAACATCATATATCGGAAACTACAAGGATTTGAGCAGTCATAATTGGAGACAGGTGATATAAAAAAATGATAGTAAATATAAAAAAAGGTACAAAAAGATAAAGAGATAAAAAAGATACAAAAGAAGACAGAAAAAAATAGAAAAAAGGAACAAAGAAGGATCGAAAAATATACATAAAAAAGATAGAAAAAAAGGTAGAAAAAAAGATAGAAAAAAAAGAAAAAGAAGGATCCAAAAAAACAGAAAAAAATATAGAAACGATTAAAAAAAAACAAAAAAGCAGGCTCGAAAAAATACACAAACAAAGATAGAAAATCCAGATAAAGATAAAGAAAGATTGGAGACAACCGTTTGGCAGAAGTACTATTTTGAACTGAATCGTCGAAACCAAACTGAAAACTAAAAAAGTAGAAAAACATAAAAAAATAGAAATAATTTCCAAGTAAATTGAACCAAATTCATCAATGAAGCAAAAAAAAATATTTATTGAGACCTTTTCAAAACATGGAAAAAAAAGGATGTTTTATTCTTTTGGAAAGTTTATCAAAGTTTTTGACCAACAGTAATTTCGAACGCTCAGAAGTTTTAGTTTTTGCTTTGAATCTGCAGTTGTTTTTCAGAAAATTTTGTTTTTGCGCCACAAAAAACAAAATAATTGCTTTTAACCCACTATAGGCCTTCAAAGCTATCAGTTACAACTCATTCAATGAACTGATCCCTGTCTTCTATTTGAGCAAAAATTGATAAAATCACTGGAATTGGAATTTTTTTGAGCTGCTCAATGCTTTTGGGAAGGTTTATAATTTCAATGGTAACTAGAAAATGCAGGACTTTGTCCTTTTAAATACAATCTCGATCAAGTGAAATTTTTTAAAACATCTTTCAACAATGGCACTGATGTACATCAAGTTGCATGAAAAACTCTGATTTGGTTGGTTTCCAAGAGCCAAATTGAATAGTCAAAAACTAAATTCGAAATGAAAACTGAATCTTCTTCACAACAACATCGCTGATTTAAATTAATCGGACAAATCGAACGAAATATTAAATGTAGAACGCGTTTTTTTTTTCAAATTGGGTTGATTTTTGACTAAAAATGATGAAGACCCATCATTATTACTTTTTTAACAGAAATAATAGACCGAGATTTGTTTTGCAAAACTCCGATCCAAAATTTTACCCAAAAAACAATGATTTTGGCTTCTTTTGTCAATCAAAAATTAACCCAAACCTATTTGTGCAATTACTGACAAAACTAAAACACCGCGAGCCTCTTATGTAGCCTAAAATTTAAGAAGAGTATCTTTTTCTCAGCTTCTTTGAATCATATTTATTTTGTTTGAAAGCCAAAAACTGTCAACTTTACAGATAATTTTTTAAAAATTTTGCGCCCAATTTTGTAGATTACACCCTTCGCAAATTTTGTTGGGCTACATAAAAAGCTTGCAGTGATTGTCATTTTTTGACTAAATTTTCGTTTTGGATTAAATTTTAGGGCCCAATTTTAGCAAAGCAAAACGCATCATAATAACTCTGTTAAAGCTTTAGGCAAGATTGGTTTTCATCAAATTTTGTCACCCAAATTAAAAAAAAAAACGTTGTATTTTTTTTTGTTTCGTCCAGAATATTTGGATCATCACTGTTTTAATCATGTTTTTGTCCCAGCTAAAAACTTGAGTTTTTTCCTTTTCTTTGTCTTAAAATTAAACAAAGGCGTCAAAACTCAAAAAGCGCCAAAAGTGGTTTGTCCTGGTCAAGAACTCTAATTGTTCTCACAATCTTACTGGCTAGGAGGAATTTTTTTTTTCTTGATGAGTAATAAATTCAATCATCAAAAACCATTAAAATTAAACCAATGAAAAGCGACATATCAATCGTTTAAAAAAAAAACAGTAGGTTTGTCAATTAAACTAAATTCAATTGATCAGATTTTTTTTTTCGTTCAGCACTATTTTTTCTTTATTTCAGAATAAAGGTTAACGATTGGTGAAAAAAAGGTAGTGTCATTCAAAACACTATCAATCGAAATACTTTTGGTGCTTATTGTCATAGTTTGTAAAAGTTGAATTTTTTTATACTTTCACATGATTGTTATAAATTTACCTTTCGATCATCAAAATTTGACAAAATGTGTTGTCCCATCTGAAAAACATTAATGCCCTGGGCTACAAAAAAATTAGATCACCTATGCTTGTTAGTTTTGAAAAAGCGGAGTTTTGAAAAAAAATTGATTCAACCAATTGGCAATAATACAAAGCACTAATCGCTTCCAAATTTTTCACTTAAAACTTTTTCAAACAGGCCATTTTTGGTCTTTTATCGAATAAAATTGGGGAAATCAATGAACTCAAAATTAGGTTGATGTCTGCGTTGCCAAGTTTTTGAAAATTTAATAAGGTTTTGCTGGAATCAGGGCTTTGGTATGCTTCAGATTGTTTAGAATTAAATTATTCTGACTAAACTGCTTTTAAAAAGTCAAGGATGGAGAAAAGCAAAATTAAAGTTTTAACAGTTGTTTTTCAAAATTAACTATTTAGCTTTCTTTTAACTATTCTTTTATTAGAGCATCCGCTCCTTTCACTTACTTCTCTTTTCATAGTATAAATTAACCGGGTCAATCATCAAAAACTTTCAAATGGCTTCTTTCAAATGATAAAAGTCCCGTTCTCCGTTTTCCCTTAAATTTTTATGGTAAAATCTGGCTTCTGACTCTAAAAATTTGTCGGTTAAATCATCAAAAAATTTCTTACTGCTGCTTTTTTTGATTTTTTTTTCACACTGTTTTGTGAAACCAATCTAGGTATATGATGTTCAGTTGTTTGCTTCGCTTTATTTTTACAACTTTACATTTTGCTAAGCAATTGATACGCCTACGTTTTATACCGAATTGGATCAGAATTCTTGTTTCGCATTTTCTAGGCTACGCTAGCATTGATTTGATGAATGTACAGAAAGAATTGATCAGTTTTAAAGATAAGCATTAAGCCGGCCTAAACGTGCGGACTTTTGAGATACAAAAATTTGTTACACACTAAATGTCAAATAAAAGACTTCGTTGGTAATATTTGAAACCAACTGGCTGATTACTGCTGTATAGTTTGACCTTCAAAACTTGTTCATTTACTTAAGCAAATTAAAAAGCTAACATTTTGCTGGTAACTAACGCTACCTTTAAACACGGGCATTTTAACCAATCTGCAAATTCAGCTCGGCAATATATTGCTCTTCAGGAGATTTTTACTGTTTCAATCAAGTCAAACTCAGCAATTGAACAAAAATGTCAATTGTTCGTATCACCTACTTCAATCTCCAAGCGCTTGCCGAATTCAATCGGCTCCTGTTCGTCTATTCAGGTCACGAATTCGAGGACGAACGACTGGAACGCGAAGCATGGCCCGCTCGGAAACCCGAGGCGCCTCTGGGCTCGCTGCCTTACATTCGGCTCGAAAACGGCAACGAGTATCCCCAGGCGACATCTATTGCTCGGTACTTCGCCGAGAAGTACGGCCTTCGGGGTAAAACGGAAGAGGAAAAACTGCACGCGGACGTTGTCGTCGACTTAGTGCGTTTCGACATAATTCCGTCGCTGACTAGAATTTTCCTTGCTCAAGACGCGCAAATGAAGGAAATTCTAAAGAAAGAGGCGCATGAGAAAATTCCCGCTTGGCTTGAAAAACTCGAGAGTAACTTTATCAAGGGGGAAAACACAGTTTTGGGTAAGTAAAGTTATAAATGAAAACAAATTTAACTAAATTTAAACTCAAATATAGTTAGATTATTAGCAACATTTTCGATCATACAGCATTGAATTTAAACAAGCGGCAGGGCGACAATTCGTAACAAGCCACAATTTGTAACAGGCGACAATTCGTAACAAGCGACAATTCGTAACAAGCGACAATTTGTAACAAGCGACAATTCGTTTCAGGCCACAATTCGTAACAGGCGACAATTCGTAACAGGCGACAATTTGTAACAGGCGACAATTGGTAACAACACGTTGGCAAGTAGAATACGCTTGCTCCGCTTCGCTCCGCTGCGCTTAAATCCAACACGAGTAGATAGATCCCCGCTCAATCTACTGTTACGAATTGTCGCCTGTTACGAATTGTCGCCTGTTACGAATTGTCGCCTGTTACGAATTGTCGCCTGTTACGAATTGTCGCCTCAAGAAACGAGCTTATTAATGATTGATTAATTATCAAATTTTTCATGAAAATGCTCGGTACAGAAAGGTACTATTCTCAGACTGGCAACAAATCACAACAACAGACTGGCTTAACAGACTTCGATAGGTCCTCTAAGTTTCGAAGAAACAAATTTGCACTTGTTCGTTTATTATAAAGACTAAGATCTGTCAGAATTCAATAGATAATCACTAGCAAAAAAACTACCGAGCATATTCTAATTCTTAGTAGGGATCGATCCTTTTATTACCCGCTCAAACTTTAAACCTCTTTTTAGAGAGTGGAGCTTCATGGGCTGATATTGCCCTGTTCAATTGTGTCAACGACTTCTTCCCTGCGTTTGAAATCAAAGTGGATGAGAAAAACGTGAAAATCAACAAAGTAGTCCAAAGTGTCAAGGCCAATCCAAAAATTGCCGCATGGCTGGAGAAGCGTCCTAAGTGTGCTTTGTAAAACTCAGAATACGATGAACATAACAAAAGGAGAAATGACCGATTAAACATTTAAAGTTATGTAAAGCACATTATTTGATAACAAAATACAAGACTGATTGTATAAAAACGAAAAATTGAATATTACTATTGCCTCTTATTAAAATGATTTCAAACGGGAAACAAGAATAGCCGGTTACTGTGCAAGTTGCACAGAATGTTCCGAGTATAGTCTTTAAAGAACTAAAAATAATTTTATTTTCAAATGAGTGGATTTTGTCTGTGTGGTGTGATAAAAGGATCTGACATTAATCAACAATTTAAGCATATTGACAGTCACAGTAATATAGGACAAAGATGTTCGCAGAAAAATAACTTCAAACTTCAAAAAAATATATTAAAAAAAAATTTGCAGATTTTTTAAAATTTTTTGGTTTCCTATGGACCTAAAAAACTCCAAAAACTGATTTTACTGGCTTAGAATTATTTTCCTTAAATTAACCATAAGTGAGCTGTTGTAAGCCTGCTCGCTCTCTTCATTCGCTCGAAATTGGAATAAAAAAAATTGAACCAGTTTTTCACGATACCGAGAAAAATTTGTTTGAAATTTTTTTAAAGACGTTCGAATTATGACTGAATTGACTTCAATTTGATATATTATTTCACCTATTCTGATGATTAATTGGCGCACTTGATTTTGCGTAGAAAACAAAAAAAATAGTAAAGCAGACCCGAATACAAAGTTCCTCCACATTAGTCAAAAAGTCGAAACAACAAAAACACTCACGGAAATAAGTGTATATTGGCGCCAAAGGCGCCTTTAGAAATATTTTAGAGTCTGTAACCAAACATGTATGTCTCAAAATAGTACAAAGGGGGACACTCAGGAATTCGACCCCCTGCCGACCCCCTGGTTCACCCTTTCTACTATTTGCAGATATCCATTTTGGGAATTTTAAATCCTATTTTTGGCCACTAATGTCAAGGGAAGTTTGATTACTAAGTCAGGTAGATTGCTTGAAATTTAGTTTGAACCCATGTTTGATTTTTTTTTAATTCTTCATTTTTTTAATACGTTTTCCTTTCCATCGATGAAAATTTCAAGAATTTTTGAATTTGTGGTTTCTGTTTAACGCAGCAAAAAAAAATCAAATACTTTCAATTATATTGTATGTCAAAAATAGCAAGATCTGCGACAGAGACCTACTGACTTTTGCAGAATCTAGCAAGATTCTTGCAAGGGGTTTCAACATATTCGGATTGTTAACCCGTTTCATATACACAAAGATGAGTTGCAAGAACGTCAGATGCTACGAAAATTTCTCAATTTCTTTGAAATGCTCGCCAATTTTGTTTTTAATGATTTGTTTGATGTTTGTAGGCACTGTTTATATAATTTACTTATCAAAATAACTTCTTGAAAAAGTCTTTTAGGTTGTTCAGGCCTTAGATTAGCACATCAAAAACCCGATAATAAATAAATATGCTGCATTGGGTCACAATTACTACGGAAATAAAAAATCAAAGGGGGTTATGATCCTTTTGATCTTTATTTCCGTAATTATTGCGACCCAATACAGCATGTTTAAAAACATTTGAGCATGTACTGCGTCGGGTATTCGCTGTGTTTATCTAAGGCCTTGATTAATCTAAAAAAAAAACATTATTACCAGGTCAAGATCAAGCTCAACTTTGAACTGAACTAGAGTTCTCTTGAGCTACTTGTCTGCGTATTATCTACCGATTTCTAATAAATCATCTAATCGATTGCCCCTCAGGGTTCGTCTTAAGATAAACATCTTCGGTCGACCAAACCCTTACATTTTTCTAAAGCGTACACTAATTTTGAGAATGAAGCGCGCGTAGAAAAATTTAAATGGAATTTTTGAGTCAAAACCCTCGAGAAAATGCCCAAAAACGTCATTTTTGTCTTGAAAAATAAACGACAGCGGCGCGAAAAGTTTTGACAAAAGATCTTTTTACGCTAGCAGTTTTTTAGAACTCTAAAAATTAATTTGGCCGACCTAAAAAACGGTCCAATGAACTTTTTGAAATCCCCCTCGGGAAAATCATTGAACCGCACCTGGATTTATCGGCCAAATAGCTCTGAAATTTTAGCATTATAGCTCACATGCAACCCGCTTTGGCGAAAAACGTTGTTCGGCACATGGTTCTACTTAGTTTATGTTTCTGGGTCTCTGAAAAAAAAAGGATTTGCAATGTTTTCCTTATCTTCTCCTGATCTATTGTTACCTATGATCACGATTTTTACACGATGTAACTTCAAAGGGATGGGCGTGGCCTATTGACATCATCTGATTAGAATCTGATGCCTCTGAGTCTGTTAAATCCATCTAATATGGAGAAGTTGAAGAGATTATTTTTATTACTGTAACAGACTAACAAAAATTGACTATTGAGCGTGGCATTGTTTTAATATCGGGATAGACGAAAATGAGTTTGAAATAGATATTTCAAAAAATAATCGACAAAGAAAGTCAAAAGTGATGATATTGAAAGTAAATTAAGTGTTTGCCAAACATTAAATAAAAGTTTGCAGGGAAAATAGACCGAACCATAAAACTCGTTGTAGGTTCTTAGGTGTGATTTAAACGCATTAGGACACAAAAGCCGGTTGTTTTAGCAGTAGAATAGAATTATCCGACCACGCAAACTTTTATACCAAAATATGAAAAAAAGTCGGCACAAAAAAAAAATTTCAAAAAATCAGATTTTTTATTATTATTGGCATTTTGTTGTTGGTTACTACTGAAAAAAAAAAAACGGATCAACCGTGCAATTTCTCCCAAATCGATTTGGGGGTAGAATATATGGTTTTTTCATAAATTAACTTTAATTGTAGCCTAGATTTGTTCAAAGTTAACCGGATTACTTCAAAAAAAGTGAATTAAAACAGTTATTTTTGTAATTAACGGCATACAAATACAATCACGCATGAAAAATGTAATAACCTTATTTTATTTGCGCGTTTGTAGGAAATGCATATTTTATATAGAATTATTTACAGAATTAATGCAAGCTTGGGGAGGGCATTCGACGGTCGGTCACTTAGGGGGGGGGGGAATTGTACGGTTGATCTAAATAACCTGTGCGGCTTTTATGCAGATAATACACTGTAAAAAACTAAAAAACAGATTTAGGGTAGCCCATTTAGATATGTAAATTGCTTCAAATTCTCAGCAAATTGATTTGTTTTAACTATTGCTTTTGTTTCAAAACTTTATCAATTGCTTTTTAATTTAGATCAATTTGCAAATTTACATAGGCAAAAGTCGCTCGAGGGCATTTTTTTTACCGCGAACTATTGAGTTCAAGAGAAGGCTTTTTATTTCTTGCAAACATAGGGGGTTCCCGTGATGATGAAAAGTAAATGTTTGCAAAAAAAAATTTTCAATGTTTTTTCAGGCCGATAATCAACAATGAATGTCAATTGAAAAGCAATTGCTATGTTTTATATTCGTTTTTCTCCATTTTTTGTTTATCGAGATAACATGAGTGTAATCTGTAACTATTCTGTAAAAAAAAAACGAAAAAACCGAAAAATGGTTTGAAACCGATTTAAATTTTTTTTTTATTATTATTACTCGAAAAAGAAGAATCAAAAAGGGAATTAAAATGTGAAAAAGAAAACAAAAAAAATGTCAAAAGCGAACATAAAAGATTTAGAATAGATTGAAACTCCCAGGTTGAAGTCCCACCGTTAATTATCGCTGTTTTTGTAGTATCCCAGCGATCGCTATTTTCCAGCGCTCATGTATAATTCAGAGTTTGTTGCATAGATAAACCTGCAATTTTCAGAGCTATTTCAGTAATGATTCCGTAGAAAATCATCGCTAAAACTTAAGAAAACTTAACTCTTTCTAGTAGCTTTCAAATGAGAGTTATAGCTAATAAGCTCTTTAGCTTTTTAGCTTTAATTTATTTTAGGAATGATAGAGCAGAGGTAGCATTCAGGTCTATTAACCTCTAAAGGTTAGGGGATCGAATCCGTGTTTGAGAACAATTTTTTTCTCATTTTGATAAGTTTTTTTATCGCTGTTTCATCGCTAAAAATAGGCCAAATTAGCGATATCTATCGATAAAATTTGCTATTGTGGCAATGAACATCGATAATTCATCGATGGCGATCGCTGTTTTTTTTTCACTTTTTTATCGCTAATTTTCAATGCGAGCTCAACCCGGGCTGTTTTTTTATAGGTTTTTGCGACAGTGCCGGACTCCCTTTTAATTGAACTCACTTGTTTCTAGTTCTTGTAAACGAAACCAGTCAAGTCTCCAACTTAGCCCAAAACTTAACAGAGTTAAGTGCGGTATGATAGCATTTAACAACTTTTTTCCTTTTTGAACATAAGCATGGCTTTGTCATGACTACCACTTTCAATGTCTCGAGTCGTGAACTTTTTCACTGAAATTTTTGATGCTAATTAGCTATCATTTAACTTTTTTCTCATTTTCTAATCAAGTTGCATTTTGAAACATTCTGCATATTTTTGCCAGAGTATAACCCCCCCCCCCCCCCCCCGAAATTGAAGCACGTCTTTTTACAAGAAAACTTCAAAGATGTCTTCAATTTCTTAATTGTGAAAATACTCTCAAATCGAACTTTGATAAAGAGTTGTCTGGCTTCAATTTCTTTCAATTTGATTCGTTTTTTCGTTGTTTACTGATTTTTTTGTTTACAGCTCAAATTAAATTTACTTAAATTTTTTCTTGCGAAAATTTGTATATCAACGTTT